GTATATTTTCAAGAGAAGAAATAGAATATAAAAAGGTGAAGAAACAAAACAAAAATAAAGTGAAAGAAGAAAAATGGAAAAAAATATACAACAAATTTTTTATGTTGATGTTATTAGATGAGACTTAGTTAAATGTCATAGATAAGAGCTAGTGACAAATGATGGGTCATTTTAGCGAATCATTTTATAAGACAGACTAGGCAGAAACCCTAGCCACCACTTGACATTTTCCCCTATCACCATCAGGCAAAGCGCGTGTGCGGCACTAGCGCCGGAGGGGTGGTCCAGATCAGGGCCTGCTGTCGATGTGTTGGAGGGTTGCTGTGGGACGGCAAAGGAGATATGTGCTCTAGCAGCGGTCTTTGTCAGGTGGTGCGCGACGGCGGCGTTGGTGCAGCCGAAGGGATCCATCGTGGAGATCCACGACTGCCCGATTTGGCTGGATCATCGGAGAAGAGGGCATCGGTGCATGGTTTTGGACGGCGACAAGCTCGACATCAAACTCAGATCTGTCGTATAATAGCATGGGTAATTTTTCCCCAGATTTTCTTTAGGGAGTCATCGTGTTTGGTGCGTGGGGTGACAAATCGGCAGCATTGCCCCAAGTCAGGCATAATGTTCTCATCACGCTATTTCCATCATGTTGTGTTTTTTGTCGGCGAATGGCGGGTGGTGTCGTGTCTTCGGCGAGACTTTCAGGACCTGGTCCATTTATGTTTTCAGTGGATTCGTCTAGATCCGGCCGACTTTCATGGTGTTTGGAGTTCCTACATGCCCTTATTGACGTTTTTTTCTCTGGGGCGACGATTTGCTTAGCAGATTGTGGCTGCTGGCGTCTCTTGTTTTGCAGCGACGGCTACTTCTACAAGCTCCTGGGTTTCAAAAAGCTTGCTCCGTTAAGGTGGAGGCCCAGTGGCGGCATCGAGCTAGGCTCACGACACGCCGTCGGTGGATGCAAGAGGAAAGGTACCGAGGCACCCTATGATTTTAAATGTATTTCTATTTTTTTGTAAGGGTGTTTTAGTGAGGAGTCGTGATACTTAATATATGGCCTTACGACCTTTTAAAATAAGAAATAGATAAGAGCTAGTGGGAACCAATATTTTTTCAATTTAATTTTTAGTACTATCAATTTTAAGCCGTCAAAGATTTTTTTTGAGGGACAAAGCTGTTAACGGTCCGGCCGTTAACTTCGCGCGCGTCCCCCTCCTTTCGCGTCCCTGTTTTCCTTGTATAAATAGCCGGCGCCATCTCCTTCTCCTACCTCCGACTACCCTCGATCCTCCTCTTCCCACGCGCATCTCCCTCCCTCCCTCCCCGCACACGCGCCAAGCCAAGCGCTCTCTCTCGCATCGACAATGGCGGACGAGAAGCTCGCCAGGCTGCGCGAGGCCGTCACCGGCCTCGGCCAGATCAGGTCGATCGCTCTCTCCCTGTCAATCGGACGCCAGCCGTCGCCATTGCCGCATGTCTTTACCTGTATGTATGTCTTGTCCGATGGATCGCTTGCTTAATTTCTTTGTGCTGCCTTGCGTGCAGCGACAAGGAGAAGTCCGGGTTCATCAGCCTCGTCTCCCGCTACCTCAGGTAATTTCTCTTCCTTTGTGTTAGGTTCTCCTCCCGTTCGTCATCCATGGCGTGGATGTTGTTCTGAGTCTGACCATGGTTGGTTTTCTTTGACGGCGAGAAGCGGCAACGAGGAGCAGATCGAGTGGGGCAAGATCCACACGCCGACCGACGAGGTGGTGGTGCCATACGACACCCTAGCGGCCCCGCCGGAAGGTGCGCACCACCGACGAGACGGCCATCTTCTCCTTCTCCTTCTCCTTCTCCTTCCTCGTCTTCGACACGAAACTGAATTTTGGTGATGACCCTATCTCCTGAAAAAATAAAATCGCAGACCTCGCGGCGACCAAGGCGCTGCTCGACAAGCTCGCGGTGCTTAAGCTCAATGGCGGCCTGGGGACCACCATGGGGTGCACAGGCCCAAAGTAAGCTGCCACGTTCATCTCATCCACATACATGGTGCTGATCACAACTAGCACATTGATCTCTCGACGAACGTTTCAGGTCGGTCATCGAGGTGCGGAACGGGTTCACCTTCCTCGACCTCATCGTGGTCCAGATCGAGGTAGGGGCCGGGGTCTAGCATCGTGCACGCATGATCGATCATCCATTGTTCCTTCTTCTTTTCTTTTTGAGATCCAAAGCAAATGTTGCTGTTCTACCTGAGTTTTGCAAGGCTGCATTCACTGACACTGCTTCCTTTTGCAGTCCCTGAACAAGAAGTACGGCAGCAACGTGCCGCTGCTCCTGATGAACTCCTTCAACACCCACGACGACACCTTGAAGGTAGATCGATCGCCACCACCCGAATCTCTCCCGACGACATTCGCGGTTGTTTGAAAAACATTTTTCCCTCATCGTGCTGATTAGTTAGTACATTTTGCGCCGTAGATTGTCGAGAAATACGCCAACTCAAACATCCAAATCCATACGTTCAACCAGGTATGTCAAGACAGATTCCGTGTTGGTGTTTCAGTCAGGTATATATGCTCATGGCATTTGCCAATTTCTGTTCTGATATGCAGAGCCAGTACCCTCGTGTCGTCGCCGACGAGTTCTTGCCGTGGCCTTCCAAGGGGAAGACTGACAAGGATGGCTGGTAAGACATTCATGCATCACCAGATCAGGAAATTCTTGTCTGACAATAATCACGGTGTAATTTTAACTACCTCTTCTTCATTACACAAATATGAAGGTACCCTCCTGGCCATGGTGACATCTTCCCATCCCTGATGAACAGCGGCAAGCTCGATTTACTACTCTCGCAGGTTCGCAATCATCTGGGGAAAAGTTCTCATCCAAAGTTTCCACGCGTGTAGTAACATTATTGTTATGTTTTTATACTATTGCAGGGAAAAGAATATGTTTTCATCGCAAACTCAGATAACTTGGGCGCTATAGTTGACATGAGTATCCTTACATAAACATGATATTCAATATTTACTTTGACAAAAAATTCCAGTTGTAAGAAAAAGGATACATTGCTTATATTTACTTAACTATTGAATAGAGATACTGAACCACTTGATCCACAAGCAGAATGAATACTGCATGGAGGTATGTAATTTCATAAATATACATTGAAGATAGATTGAATTTGGTTTGTTGGGAAAGAAGATTAACAGCCTTCCTTCAGGTTACCCCGAAAACTTTGGCCGATGTGAAAGGTGGCACACTGATCTCATATGAAGGAAGGGTTCAGGTTAGCTTAATTATGTTTCTTCCTTGTTGCAGCATAATCTTGCAAACCAATTTTATGAATGATAGTGGAGAATCGCGTCTGGGAACATAACGACAACAATTTTCCCTTTTATTTTTTCAGCTTCTGGAGATTGCACAGGTTCCTGATGCACATGTAAGTCATAAACTAGAAACTGCAATGGCATAATAAATGATCAAAAAACCAGACAGCGCCGCGGCAATTACTGTGCGTCTTTTCTGAGATTGCTTCCACATTTTTCTGAAACCTAGGTCAATGAGTTCAAGTCAATTGAGAAATTCAAGATCTTCAACACCAACAATCTGTAAGTGAATTCAAAGTTTTTCATTTCAGTTTTATAAAGACCATTTCATTGCTATATAACACTACTACATGCTTTTATAGATGGGTGAGCTTGAAGGCTATCAAACGCCTTGTCGAGGCTGATGCACTCAAGATGGAGATCATTCCAAACCCGAAGGTAATAATGCATTCTAGAGAATTATTTTCACACAGGGATTGCTCCATGAGCTTTGTTAGTTTTTACCTATGATTTGTGAATAGTTTAACATAGATTTTGATGGACAATAAAATCATTTCAGGAAGTTGAGGGCGTGAAAGTCCTTCAGTTGGAAACGGCAGCTGGTGCCGCGATCAGGGTACTAACAAACTACTACTAACCTATTTACCCATAATCATAGCCTTATGCTACATATAAATATGACAAATCATATGTTTTTTGAATCAGTTCTTTGACCATGCAATCGGCATGAATGTTCCAAGGTCCCGGTTCCTACCGGTGAAGGCAACATCAGACTTGCAGCTAGTACAGGTTTGTGCTATATGCTGAACAAATTCTTTAAGTTAACACTCCTAATTCTAACTCAAATTACTTTTGCCCTGCAGTCTGATCTGTATACCTTGGTTGATGGCTTTGTTACACGTAATGCCGCTAGAACAAACCCATCAAATCCCTCAATTGAACTTGGCCCTGAGTTCAAGAAGGTCAGGCTCCAACACTAACACTCCTCGCCAAAACGAAAGAGTTTTACCATTAACTTTTAAACTCCAAATATAAATAAGCCGATCTTGTTTATACATGCACTGGCAGGTTGGGTGCTTCCTCGGCCGCTTCAAGTCGATTCCTAGCATTGTTGAGCTAGAGAGCTTGAAGGTTTCCGGTGATGTTTGGTTTGGTTCTGGCATCGTGCTGAAGGTATTCAGACAAAGTTGTTGAATTATTACAGTCTTCACTGTAGTTGCAGTTCTTAGACAACATGTTCAGACTATTTATGACCTGCTATTTTCAATGCATGCATTACCTGGATATAATGTGCAGCTTCGCTTCTCAAATAATTGCTGTTCTGATTTATGGCTATTTATGAAGATATACATCTCAAAAGTATTTAAACCTTGGGAGTAAAGATGTATGTTTTCTTTTAAAACTTTTGTAGGGCAAGGTGACCATCACAGCAAAACCTGGTGTTAAGCTGGAAATCCCAGATGGAAAAGTGATTGAGAACAAGGTATCTTTCTCAAGATGCATGTTCTCATTGTTGTTTCACGAATTCAGCAGTTTAAAAGCAACAGAGATCTTAGTTCTAGTCTGGTTACTTGTTTATCAGCATTGGAATAAGTTTGAAAATAAACGAAAGAATTACTGACATCATTAAAATAATCAGAAGTCTTACATAATTGACTAATTTTCATCATCTAGTTTCTGGGTAACAAACTAAAACCTTATTTGAGATGTTCATTTATATGTCCTAATCAAAAACTAAGCTGCTAGCACCATCCATCTTTTTCTATAACAAAATATATTTTATTCTTTTATTTCAGGATATCAACGGCCCTGAGGACCTTTAAATGAGCATCGGAACATGCTGACATCACAATGGCAGATCAATTTTACTATATAGAATCTGCTATGAGTCATACATGCACCATGACATTGTGGTGAATATCTGTGATACAGTTTGCTTCAACATAAATACATTGAAGTGAACATTTCTACCTACTTAAGTTTTGCTTCTAATCTTAGATTTTACTCCCTCCATTCGGAATTACTTGTCACAAAAATGGATAAAAATGGATGTATCTACAACTAAAATACATCTAGATACATTCATTTCTTGGACGAGTAATTCCAAACGGAGGGAGTACTTGTTAGAAACAAGTCCTTTCAGGGCAAACAAACAAAATCGACAAAACGCAAAAGCTTTGCCTCCCAACGTTTCGATATATATCCAGGCAAAATATAATATTAACATATTCTCGGTTACAGCTCTCGTCTCATTGATAAGAACGAAAAAAGTACTGTATAAAATAAACACACCCCTCTAAAATTTGTGAAGCTTCACAGGTACCTCATCAGTATTTTCCACGTGTAAGCAAAAATGGTCAACTATCTGCGGGAGGGATCACTTCCAAAAGCTCTATATCCAGTTCAAAACTAGCATCAGCCTGCAAAGTAGGACCGAATTAAATAACTCATCACTAGCTGAATCCACTCAGATGCACAATCAAACTAGCAGAAACTGAGGGTTTTTTACCGGTATCTCGCCCTGCCCCTTTTTCCCATAACCCAGATCTGGAGGCACAATCACCCTCCTCTGCATAACCAACACACAAACAGAACAGCAGATCAGGTCAGTTATCATACCGAAGACAAAAAACACCCGATTATTCTTCACTCAGTGTTAGTTCTCCTTGTCAATACCTTCCCTCCAACTTTCATTCCCTCGGTTATCATGTACATGGCCCGTGGAGGCTTCGGCGAAGCCTGCGCGGAGAACAGCCCGTTGGCGGTGTCTGCGAAATCGCGCTTCCGCTCTTTTCCAGGCAGCGATCCGACGGTGAACACATAGGGCTACTAGAGGAAGGCAGACAAAAATCTTAGTTCCTACCGCGCCAAACCAGCAGCAGTGCCATAAACGGTGTCAGGAGTATTTTGCCACATAACCTGTGCGATGCTCCGGTTCCCCGCGAGGAGCTTGGCCTCGCGGCTCGACACCACGGTGATGCTGCGGTATATGCAGTCGAAATGAACCTTGAGAAGAACAGCAGTGGCAACCGGTTTCAGTTAGAGACTGAAGAGTGAGCACAAGAATGAAGAGCAGGGCTGAGCTGATTACCTGGACAGTTGATCCCTTCTCGGCAGTTGGGCCCTTCCCTTCAATGAGATCGTAGTACTTCAGGCCATCAGCTGCCCCCAATGGTTCTCACATCAGATCACTCGAACGCCGAGTTTAATTTAACCAATGTAATAAGTAGTGATGATTCATGGAAAAGAGAGACTGTAACTTTTGATTGTAAACATGAGTTGCAGTGCTTAATATCACATGGATCAATTGACAGCTAAAAAATAAATAAAATGAAATATTGTATGAGGCTAATCAGCTTCAGAGTTCAGCCTGAAAGGGCCAAACTTTTGGGCGGAAATCTGAGCAGGAACCAAGGGCGCAGGGGAAGTGGCTCGCGGACGTACGTGTGGACGCGTAGTCCTCCGGCGCGATGGTCCGGCGGCCCCTCCTGGCAGCGAGCGCGGGCGCCGGCGGGGAGGACGAGACGGCGGTCAGGAGGCCGGCCGAGAGGAGGAGCTGCGCGGCCGCCCTCCGCCGGGAGACGCAGCAGGGGACGGTGGCCTCCCTCGGAGGAGGAGCGGGAGCGGAGGAGGGTTGAGGGTGGGGCCGGCGGGGGTGGAAGGTTCTGGAAGGCAGGGCGGAGGGAGCCATGGACGGCGGAGGAGGAGGCATGGGGGCCGGAAGGATGATGGTGGGTCGGAATGGCGCGCGCTCGGCTGCCCGCCTGCCGCCACCACATCAGCATATCCATAAACGGTAGGGTGCAGAAAAAAAACAGAATATTCCATTTTCCCCATTTTATGCCTTATTGTTTATTACTCCTGTTACATTGATTTTTTTTAGATCCTTTTCTTAAATTTATTTATTTTCTTACAATGTTCGCAAACCACATTGTGCGGTGTTTATTTTCCCTTTTATGCATTCATATTTATTTTATCATATTACTGGATTTTTTGTATTTGCTGGTTAAAATAGTCTAGTAATGTTTAAAAAATACAGATTGTGGTATTTGTGACAAGAGAAAAAAAATCGGTGTTCAAGACAAGCTAGTACCTGTCCTATACTCCTATTCTGGATGAGAACTTGTGCATGTCCAGACAATGGCCTTGTTGTGAAACTGTAGCTTCAGTTCCAAACAGTGAAGGTGGTGGTTGTTTTTTAAAGAATTTATCATTGTTGCTAATTGCACTTCCAACCAAGAAAATCAAAGAAATATTGGGATGCAGAAGTTCAAATCTGTGCAATTTCACAAAAAAATAATTAAATGATAGACCTGCCTGCTCACATCCATTCAGGGTCAAGGCAGGCAACAGCCAATGCAAGAGAAACTCTGAAGATAAAAAGGCACTCACACAAACACATTCCTGCCATTCACAATCACAACACCATCAAGGACAAGACACATCTTCTATACAATTGCCCAGTTGCCAGGAACCTACAGAACAATCTCCCCTACACAGCCTCTGAAAGTCTGAGAATCTATTTCCCCCTCCATTAGATCAGGTAAGCCGACCCGAAGAACAGCGCACCTCGGGTCGAAAACGTGCATATATATAATCTCTTAGCTTTTGTACACAAGAACTAGCCTTCTATATCAATGACGCTGCCGCCGTTCCTGGCCGGCCTCTCTACGTCGAGGGCGGCCATCGGCGCCGTGGCCGCCGCGCTCGCAGGCAGGCTCATGGACCGCTTCTTCCGGTCCTTCGGCGGCTCCTTGTCGTCGACGAACGAGATGAACCTCCGGAGGCTCTTCTTCGGCTCGTGCCTCACGTACTTGCGCAGCATGATGCCGAAGTAGATGAGCAGCGAGATGACGCACGCCACGCCGCAGATGAGGAACAGGCCCCAGAAGCTCTCGAGCCGGAGCTGGTTCGAGTTGATCATCTCGCTTTCGTCGGCTGCGCACTCGCCTGTCTTGAGCCACTTGTCGTGGATCCGCTGCAGCTCCCCGTTCTCTGACAGTGACAGGATCGCCGTCGACAGGTCCACTTGCAGCGGGGAGTCCCTTGGAAATGCCTGGCAGAATGAACTTTTGTAAGGTGCTAAGTATTGATTCGTGAAATTAAAGAAGGTGTAGATTTTAGATTTCACCAGTAAAAGAAGTGCAAGAAAGGTTTACATAATACTAGACAGCATACACAACTATTGGAAGTTAAAACTGTCGTTTCAGGATTTTTAACACCAAAATATTGTATCCTTGTATTTTGAAGCTATGTTAAATAACTTAGTTTAAATGTACTTACAAAGCCCCATCCTCTGCTTGTGAAATCTGAGCCGGCTACTGCAATCTTGCAGTAGGTTGACAAAAACAGTTCAACATAGGGGCGCTCGTCAACGATGGCCATAACTCCTCCTTTCTTGGGGCCAAGCTCGAGGGCTTTAGCATATTCTTTTGGGGAACCGAGAGCTCTTAGCCTTGACCGTGAGATGTTCAGTTCATTAACCATGTAGTCTTGTGCAAAAGAACCAACTTGGAAACCAACAGGAGCATCACTATTTTTCAGGTCATCAATTCCTTTTATAGAAGTATCAAGTTGTTGCACGGTCAGGATGGAAGTAAGACTCGCGGTATAGCTGGATTGGATGATCAAAACAACAAACAGCCATATGATTAACACGCCGCGCCCTAAGGTGCTCATAGTATTTTCTCCTGGGAACAGATACAGATGAAAATCATGAGCCATGTGAATCAGAATAAAATTACTTTTTATATATAGCCAAAAAACACATAATAGAGAAGGTTGGTTTACTCACTGTGTGCAAAGAACAAAGTCGAAAAGCTGAACCTGCAGACAATAAAAAATTGAGATTATAATCACAGTTTTGAGAGCAAGGAATGACTCTGTGATAAGAGCATTTGACAAGAGTATGTAAAAACAGAAGAAAATAAAATCAATGCATCATATATATCTCACACCACAAGATAATAGTTAATTCATAATCACTGGATGCTTCATGTGGGTGTGTTAACTGGCAATTGTTCTAAGGTGCTTGCTGTATGAAACATGTTACACAAGACTTGTTCCGGCCTTGACATTTCTAAGAAAACAAAACTGGTATACAGGAAGATGAAACAAAAGGTGCAGGTAAGCTCCTCACCAGAAAATAGTTATCAATTGTTCTCGTGGCGAGCCGCGGAACTCATCATTGATTCGATGTTCAAGAACCCAAACAACCACACCCACAACAAGAAAGAACAACCCTGTAACACACCACATCTCCAAAGTAAATGGCTGCAAGAATGCCCAGGACGTTGTTATATGCCTTTTAACCGGAGCCAAGATAACCAATCCTGTTTCAATGAAAGGCTGGGTGAAATCAGCATTTACTGTGCGCTTCATTGTAACTGCGATATCCCCTACAGCTCCATCAAGCTCCTGCAGAATAAGATAAACCTGGTCAGTACGGTATGATGGAATGTGTAGAAAAAAGAAAAAAAACATATATGCTTACATTTGATTCAACCATCTGTATGAGTTTGTCATAATGAGGATTTTCAGTACCACTCCCAAAAGGTACAAACTTGTAGGTAACAGGATAAGGAAGCAAAGCCAATGCCTGAGTAAAGACATCAATGCAATAACCCTTCATTGACCCGGTAACATTGTCTTTCGTGACAAACTCCCTGAAGCTGAATCTGTTGGGAATACCAATTTTCAACTCCTTGGCATTAGAAGGGAAAACCCATCCTCGAGGCCTCTGTGCAGTCTGCCCAGGCCAAATAACATCATAGAGTTGCTGATTGGCTAGAGAAGTATTTGGGGGCTTTGAATAAAGAGCCTCTGGAGGGACAGTTGACAACGAGCCAGAATAGTTTGACCAAAAACCAATGGTCCGCATGCCATTTCCAATGACGTTTATGATCTCATAGGCAGGATGAATGAGGTCACCTGAAGCATCAAATTGCACGTGCCCAGACGGCCCAGTGAAGTTTACCTTTCTAATCTTCTCCAATAATTTCCTTCCCTTGTCAAAAATACTCATTGCTTCAAGGTGAAGAGTTCCCCCAGTTGCATCACGCAACCGCGAGTCATTAGAGAAGGAAATGCTACCACCATCATCGAAGAAAGCATCCAGAGCCCGAGCTACTGTCCATACACTATCATAAACATAAAAACCATAAGTATTTACTCGAAGATCACTATGGTTGTACTTCTGACTTTGCCTGCTCCACTTGGAGATCAAATTACTTTTTATCTTTGAGTTGGGGATATGTGGCCGTAAAGTAAGAACACCTTGCATACCAGATATAGTCTCAGCAGGAACTGATGAATTAGCATCAAGATATGCAGAAAGCCAGTCGGTTGCAATCCATACATAGCCATTACCCATCATGTTTAGTCGGTTTGCCATAGAGAAAAGCTTGAGTCCAGGTTCAGCACCAGTATGGAGGATGATAACGCGAGACTCCATATAACTGACACTAACCAACAAATTAATGAGCTCACTCTTTTTAGCATTTGCAGGAAATCCAATCTTGTAGGAGATTTTGCAGCGCTTCGCAGTGAGTGCGTCATCCAAAGCAGCAATGCCATTTCGACCATAATCATCATCAACATATATGGCAGTCACTATCTTCCAGTGGTTGTAGTCCACAACTGCTGCCACAGCCGCCATTTGATAGAGATCACTGGGAGCAGTCCTGACAAAGAATGGGAACTGTATCGATGAAAGAGTAGCATCAGACGCAAAGGACATCAAGGGGACTCGGAGCTCATTTGCTACATATGAAATGATATGAGCAATTGCGGAGCACTGGGGGCCAACGATTGCAATAACATCAGTCTCCATGAACTGCAAAGCTGATACAAGGAATACGATATCATTGTCACAACTCCAGAAAAGAAGCAACTATTTTAACGATACAAAATGATGACGTTAAAGCTAGTCTACCTTGAACCATGCCAAGGAAACCATCAAAGCAATTTGTATCCTTGGTTTCAACCTTTAATGTTGTTCCATTTAGAACTGTTGGATCAGAGTTGATATCTTCCAAGGCTGCATTGATGGCAATCGCCGCAACACCTCCAGTGGTGGAGTTCAATTGAAGAATAGACCCAATATTCACAACTGGAGGCCTTGCAGCTAAGCTCTTGGAGATGCCATTAGGGTACAGGAGCACAGAGAGAACCAACAGCATGGGAAAAGCTATCGCCATTGTCCCTCAAACGGTGCAAAGGCTACTGGATGGTTATTCGCATCTTAACAGATTATTAATGAGTTGGGATCCCCCTGCAAGAAAAAAATCACAGAGCAGATGTTATTGTGATACGGATGCATAGTTCTTGTATTCCCTAAAGTAACATAGTTGGTGTAGACTGTACCAGCATTTGAAGCCTCAGTACAAACGTCCAAAGGAAAAAAAACAGTAACAAAGAAGCAAATAATAATTTGAAGGATGCACTAGCTGTAATTAAGAAAAAACGGACTGAATATTGCAAAAAAAAAGTAACTGAACTGAGCAACAACAGATGTTTCGACCAAACACGTTAAGAATGAAAACAATCCATTTGTAGCAAGCGACACAACATTTCGGTTTGTGCCATTGATGTTATCCGGTTATACTGCTCCTAGGAAGAAGATACAGGTCGTAGGTTGGGCCGGCAAGCATCCAGCATTTTTGCTCACATACACTCATCCAAGAAAACCAAAAAACATTATGGTCCTTGAAT